GAGATGGCTTGCCAAGACAGCAGAGGCGCAGAGCACGACAGTCGGGGTCGGTAATATATCGGTGGCGTAGACAGATGCGTAGCGTTGCGCAAAGGCCTCCGCCTTGTCAACATCGGTTTCTGCCAGGGCACAGTTAATCTCCAACGAAGGTACGTCAGCCGTTGCACGCGTACGGCGACGGAGGTATGCATAGAATCGCTTCGGATGCCAGGGCTTCCTCGTACACCCGCCGTTTACTAGATTTCATTTCAGAGCACGCCTTACGCAGCACTTTGTATTGATCATAGTTAGATCCGTGAGGGCAAAACGCTTTTCACGCCCTGTTTCAACGCTTAGGCATCTGACGTAACTCGCGGTCAAACCAGGGAGGCCCATAGCGTGTGATCAAAAGCGTTTAGGAGGGGGAGAAGGCTGCCATCGATTCAGGGATACCGTCCCGGAAGGTAGTTCAGGCAAGGTCTACTCCCTGAGAGCAGGTGATCACCCAGGGGAGGGACTGCGCTGCGATTCTCGTGCCATCGTAGTCCGCTTTCCAGACATTGGGACGGGAATGTGGTCGAGAGCGATACGGAGTTCCACGTCGTCAATGCAAGAACAGGGTCAAATGTTCGCTCGAACCGAGTGGCGGTAGGTGGTCGATGACGTCGACGTACGATGTCCGAGGGGATAACACCAGATCTAGGACCGACTGGGCAGAATCATTGATCCTGGTGGGCTCGCGGGAGTGCTGATGTGAGGTCAACTGGTTCGCTACTTCGAGGAGGTCTCTGGAGAATTGGTCCGCTCCCAGTAGGCAGCGATTTTCGTCCCAATCGATTAGGGGTACATTGAAATCACCCAAAATCAAACAGTAGCCATCGCCAGCCCATCTCCGCATATCGTCCAGAATGGCCACCGGGGCTGTCGCTGGTGGTCTGGAGCAGACTCCTATTGTCGTGTAGCCTCTTCTCCTTGACTGCCAGGATCCGCGTAGCTGTGGAGGTGAGTAGCCGGTACACTTTCGTGGATAAACAGCATGACGCCCCCATCCATCTTTGGTTGTGCATGGTCCGAACGGAATGACGCATACCCTGGGAGCAAGACTTTAGTGTCAAGAACGCCGGGGGTGAGCCAGGTTTCGGTGAGAGCGATAACCACCGGGAAGTGCTCCANCCATGACAAACGCCTCCAACTCGTCTCGTTTGTTCAAAACACTACGTAAATTGGCAGACACTATGCATGCGCGGCTGCGCCTGTCGATAGCAGCCGAAGGCACGTCCCTCCAGTTTACGCCGGAGGAGACTCTCTGTTCGGTATTGCAAGAGGGCTCCACCGGAAATGTGGGCGCCTCCTCTGGACCCGAAAATCCCGGATGAAGAGATTTTGTTCACCACGTGCTCGACGCTCATGGATCTCGGCTAATGCCTGCTTTAGCTTCTGCCGTTCGTCCGCGTCGAGGTCGCGTAGTAGCCTGACGAGCTCCCCTTACAAGTTCAAGTATTTTTCCAAGTCAGTAGTAGCTTTATGCACCCGGATGGGTGGATTTTCAGCAATTACACCATATTTGTGGATTCAAATTTACAAAATCATTACATAATAAAACTGAAAGCAATGAGGTGTTTGTCAACGAAGCATGCGGTTGTGCGTAATTCTGTGGAAATTGTGTCCTTGTCTATAAGTAGACGTGCTAGATATGGCAGAACAGAACTGCAATAAGCACAGGTACGTGCAAATAACAGTTCAAATCTTGAGCGTGTGGATGATGTAGATACAGCTTTTGAAAATTAATTGTGTAATGGATGGTGAGTGTCTGGGAGTATTTTGGCGGCGAAATTTTCACATGCTTGTAGGTGTCTGTCAATGATAGAATCGGCCAGTTTATCTCTGACAATGCAACTACCTTTAGAGATGTGTTTCAGAGATCTCGCCAGTAAATAAAAGTCTTTCTTCAACATACCCGGAAAATTACTGGAGGGCAATACAACCAGTGCGGTAGCACGCATGCATTCACAAATCTAACAATCAGCTTCTGGGGAACAGAAAGTAATCTCAACCGGAGTGAGAAATATGAAAGCTTTCTAACTTTACAGAATGTGTTTTGAACGTGCAAGGACCATGATAAATTGTGTGATAGGATAACGCCAAGGTATTTTACTATTTTTTATCTCGGTACGGGTTGTTGATTTGCAGAGAGGGTGAGAAACCTATCTATAAGGGCTGAATATGGTACATCAGCCAAGAGGGAAAACACAAAATCCTGACATTTAGGGGCATTCAATGAGAGGGAACGGGAAAGGGACCAAGTAATAACGTCATTCAGCTTGCTTTGAATTTTGGAGGCCTCCTTTGGAGTGAATGCTTTGCAACCTATAACAACGTCGTGTGCGTATTTACAGCCAATGAATGCAGGAGGAATGGGAAATTGTTTGACATACATAGAAAAGAAATATGGGGAAATAGTGCACCTTGCAGGAAATCAGAAGAAACTGGGCGAGTGGAGGACTTTTTCCGTTGAAATATGTAAACTGCTTTCTGTCTGTGAAATAATCACAGATTAGTCAGCTAACTTCTGAATTTACACCACTTTC